ACCAGTTGCACAGAACTTGCTGCAAGAGTAATCCTTTATCCTTTCAGGTTCATCATTATAGGGGGAATGGAGGACCTGCATGTTTCCTATGTCACCCTGAAATTTCTCTCTTCACCAGACCAGATTTAAATGAAAAAAAAAATTTCTCTCCACTAAAACACAAAGTTGAGAAGCTTTTCCACTTTATTGTGGAAAGCAGACGAAAAGAAGCAAAGTGATGACACACCTTATTAGCTACCTGCACTTAGCTTGATTTTTTTGCAGTCTTCTCTGAGTTTCATGGCTGTTAAGAACTGGCAGGGCAGACTCGCAGCTTGTTAGACCTGGAGCCCTGCTCCTGCAGCAGACATATCCCTCTGGCATTGGGCTGTCTGCACAATTAGCAGCTCTTCTTTAGGCAAAGCCCTTCCTGAATCCTCTGCTCTCTGGGAACAGTGCTGAGTTTGTGCATTCCCCCCTCTCCCTTGGATCTCCTGTAGCCCGCAGCACTGATAATTAATTCAATTACAGTCTTACCTTCTTAGCTTCCTGTTAATGAAGACACTGTCTGCCGAAGTGTTAACTGTTGATACACAGCTGCTTTTGAAGAGCTACCTTCCCCTGGGTGGCCCAGGCAGCGTTATCACCTAACCTGTTAATGGACAGCCACTGGGAGACGTGGGAACAAGCAGGTCGGAGAGGAGCCACCTCTGCACTGCATGACATGCGTAAACCTTCAGCCAGGCCTAATTCCAGAAACAGGCACTATGCAGGTGTTTCTGGGTTAATAAGAAATGTAGCTAATTGCTAACATAAGATAAGTTGGTAACAGGAGAAATAATGGGATAAACTTGGCTCTCTGCCCTATCCTGATGTGCTGTTGGGAGGAGCCCCCTTACAAGTCTGTTACTCCTCTGGGGCATGTGTGCCACACTCCTAGCTTAGAAGGCCAGAGCCTGGGAGTCACATAGCAGCGCTCCAGTCTAACGATTGTTGCAAAGTAATCAGTGAAAAGCCCAATGCAACAGTTTGGGCTTCCTGCATAATAAAAGCAGACCAAAATGCTTTAAACTGCATCTACTTTAACTTTTTTTTAAAACATTTTTTCACAGATATTTTTAAATGATTTTGGAGAGAGAAAACAATAGGATTATTGTTTCGTTTGTTTCCTTTGTTTTTCTGTCTAACCTGGCTGATTACACTGCTGAGAGCGAGACGGGCTCTTGGCCTCCTTGCTCTCTCCTGTGCTTTGCACAGATAGCTGCGCTCAGAAGGGGTCTGTGTCTGTCTGCCTCTCGTCTGTCTGTCCTCCCCCTCTCCCCAGGATCTTGGATGGCTGGGCTGTTTTCTTTGGGGAATGTGATGTGATCAGTCTTGTGCAGAGCTTGGATGGAAACCTTTGCTGCTGACATGATTTGTGGGAGTCTCCCCATGCCGACCTCCCTGGTTCCAAAATTCCTGGTCGGCTGCAGCACGTGCTTCCTTGCCCGGGCCTTGCCGAAGGGTGCCCTCTGGAGAAACCTGTCTGCCACGGCTTGGTGCTGGCATGCTTCAGTTTCTGCAGTCCATCTTCTGATGTGTGTCCGTGCATCCCTCCCCCTATTCACAATAGGACTTGTGGGGTTGCTGCACGTTTTCCCATTTCCGTGCCTTCTCCGGGGCTGGGCTCACTCTCGGGCTCCTGGCAGGAGCTCTGTAACAGCCTGTGGTGAACCCCTCAGCAGGGGTGTGAGGGGCCAGAAAGGGTGCAGGGAGCCTCCAAACTTAGGAACCTGGTAGCTGGGTTCCTCTGGGTGGCACCTCTCAGCTCTGAAGTTCACTTATTCCCGTTGCTGTTAAATGCTTTTCCCTGCTGCAGCATTAGGTCGTGGAGGGCTGTAATGAAAGAACTGTCAGCCCGTGACCAAGCGACTGGATTTCTGCGAGCGTGTGCTCTCGTATCTGCTAACGCAAACTGCCCGCCGTGGTTAGAGCCGGCTCTGGCCTTGTTTTCTTTGGAGTGGGTTTTTAGCTTCGCTTCGACCACAAGCTTATGTCTCATAAACGGATGAACTGGCATTTGCTGCTGCCTCCTCCAGAGCCGTGTGATGTGGCAGCCAGGCTGGATGTGCTCCCACGTGATCTGCCACTCGGACTTGCTCCTTTCCTCACCTTTCTGCTCTTTGCTGGTATTGCTGGGGGCACGTCGGACTGGGGAGGTGCCACTGCTCCCGGCAGGGCGGTGGAGGAGCCTGCTGGGCTGCAGAGGGGGTTCACGCTCACTTCCTCCTGCTCTGCGGAGCAGCTGCCGCTGCAGGAGGCACTTTCAGTCAAGAAAAAGCAGGAAACGGGGAACTTCCTGGGCTGAAGTTCTGGCCTGGCTTGGTGGGATGGCATGATTGGGAGCCCTGCAAAGGATGTCACCAGTCTGGCAAGAGACTTGTGTCCAGGCATGTGCGTATGGGGGAAAACTCAGCTCCATTTGTGCCTCGGAGTCTCTTAGTACTCCCAGGAGAGAAAAATACTCAGCTCGGGTTCAAAAACGAGAGGAGGGAAAAGCTTCCAGTGACTCAAGTGTTACGTTACTTAACAGTAATCAGATGTGCGGTATTTGTGACTTGTTTTGTTTTGCTCATCCTTCGTCAGTCACAAGCTTTAGCAAGCTCTTCCAAACAGGAAGACTGGGGTTAGAGTCATTTAGTCTCCTCCTGCATCTGTGGGGGCACAATGAAGGTGTTACGCAGGCTACTGGAGATGATGTGTAAGCCTCTATTTTCATGGACCCAGGGAACAACAGGGAGAGCACTCCATGCCCAGCAGCTCTGGCGAAAGAGTCCTGGCCACCGCAGCCCTGCAGTGACTCTGCCTCAAGGAAGCTGTTCACTTCTCAGCCAGGCTCGTTTTGTGGCTTCCAGTAACGTCAGAGCGATCTGCAGTTATTGCTGAGTCTAGATTCATTCTCTTTGTTGCAAACTCTTCAAAATTCGCACTGAAAAGAAGCTGTAAACATGGTCTGTTTGTGCTTAGTATCATCCTGCTTTTGAGATGTATTGTTTCCATTTTAAGGAAGTATTTGAGGCCATCTTTTGCTTTTTCCTGATGTGTTTGTGCATGTTGGGGGAGCTTTATATTTTTTCTCAAAACATACTAGGAAAAATATCTCCTTCCTTCTCTTGCACCCTCTCCACCAAACCTCGAGTGTTATATCCTGATGCATTTTGAGATCAGAGGAAAAAATGCATGTACTGCATGTGACAGAGCAGGGGTGCGGAAGGTCATATTGACAGAAAGGACTGAGCGTTATCATTGCAATGCTTGAAACAAGATTGTGCCTAGCAGTAAAGGCATCCACAGCCCTCAGCTAGCAGCAGATGCCTTTTGTAAAAAGCAGGTGGAAAAATAGGTGCCGAAGAACAAGACCAGTGAAAATCAGCGTACGTGGTAGGGAGCTGGTTGGGAGGGCCTACTGCGGGGAGTGGGGAGACCCCAGAGTCCTGGCTTCCGAGGTTCATCTGTTACGTGGCTGAGCTATGGGCGCGGGAGCGTGGTTTTTACAGCTGCCTGCTCGGGGCAGCCAGGCTTTGCCAGGCTGTGCAGGCATGGCTTCAAATCCCTCTCGCGGAACTGGAGCTGAATGAATGTCTCTTTTCCTATGGTTGCATAGTTTCCACTATACTTTAAATATTAGTCGTGTCACAGGAGAGTGACTGTGTAGACTTTGTAGGTGCTTAGGTCACTTACTGGGCGATTGCCTCCAGTGCTTCAATAAGCTTAATGTTTACGCGGAGTGCAATAGCTCCAACAGGAGAGGGCAAGACCCACTTCAAATACCCTGGGGATCACTGAGCTCTTCAAGCAATGGGAGGTGGGAGTTCAGACCCATGTGCCAGAGAGGACAAGGAGTCTGAGTCTCCCTCCCTTCCCTTCCACGGGAGGGAGTCCTGGCATTGTCAGATGCACGGGTATCACAGAGTGGTTTAGGTTGGAAGGGACCTCTGGAGATCATCTAGTCCAACCTCCCTGCTCAAGCAGGGTCCTCTAGAGCATATTTCCCAGGATCGCATCCAGACAGGTTTTGAATATGCTCTTCCTCCTCAGCCCCACGTTAAGTGCAAAGCCCAATCCAACTGGTGTCTTCAGCATTTCGTTTGTTTGATCTTGCCAGAAAACATGGATCCTGCTAGGGCTTAGGTGTTAAGCACCGTGGCTGCTGGAGGCCTAGATGGTTGTGCGCATGCCCTGAAGCAGTAGTACAGACACCTAATGAGAGTGGGAGTTGATTAGCAGCTCTCTTTGCCGAGGGAAGTGTTTTGACTCCAGCTGTGTTGATAGATAACATCCCTTGCCTGAGGTTCTGTGCTTAGGAGACGAGTCCTAAGAGAACAGAGAGGACTGGAAAAGACTAGGCTTCCTGAGCACAGTACCCTGTAGTTGCATCAATCAGGGAATTGTTTCTTTGATGCTGAAGATCCTGTAAAACGCTCCCTCCAATCTTGTGTAGCCCAAAGTGTTCCCCAAACTTGAGATATATCTTTGTGGTCTTTTGCAAGCAAACATGAGTTTGTGCTCTGAGTCCAAGTTTGCTGCAGTCCAGGAACTGTGTCAGTGTTGTGCTATGCTTGAGCTAATAAGCCTAAAATATGTGTTTTGGAGAAGTTTCTGAGTTCTAGTGATTGAGGTCCATTGGAATGAAACCTCGTAGTTACAGAAATGCAGGTTACATTAACCACCCGTGCTGAACAAAATGATAGTTATAAGCAACATCAGTGATGAAAAATGACTTGGACTTTGAAAACAGAGGAAAGCGTGGAAACAATGGTAAGAGCATGTGTAGACGCTTTGGATGTGCAGCATGCTGCAATGGGCTCCGCTATTTTCACAGTGCTGCAGGTCATTGTGACCTGACCAGCACTGTTACATGCAAACCTCCAAGGACGGTGCTGATCTGGAGAACGGGCTTCTCCTCCTCCTGAGGAGAGTGGCCTTGTGTTGTGCAAGTCAATAATTGACTTTAACCACCTCTCTTGCATTTCATTTTTTAGATGCAAATGTTGGACAAGTTTCCGATGGAAGGAGGTCAGAAGGACCCCAAGCAAAGGATCATCCCCTTTCTGCCAGGTAGGTGCAGTGGGCTCCAGCAAGTACTATGCTGGTTTTGGCATGGCAGTGGGCTTTTCCCCGGTACATGTGCGCATATACCTGCTTTAGATCTTATCTTGAACCGTTTGAGCATGAGCAACTTATTTGGTCGGCACTGTGCCCACTAAAACACTTATATTTGTTAAAAAGGTACCCAGTGAGTGTTTAAAACCCCTAGTCATTTCTTCTTCCCTCTTCAGCTAAGCAATCCCACTTGCACAGCTTCTATGAGGCAAACTGCTTTCAGGATGAGTGTGGCCAGCATAGCACAGGGCTGCGGATGGTGTGGAGGCTCCCCAGGAACTGTTCATATGCTGTTTTTCCTGCCGTGTGCAACTCAGGGTTATCCAGAGAGAAGGAAATAACAATTGAATTCCAAATGTTAAATGGAGCTGATTAACAGCTATGGCCTCTTCCTGTGATGTTTGGGACCAGTTGCTCCAAGACAGGATTTCTGTGGCGTGGCACGTGCTCTGCCACAGCCCAACATGCAGCTGGGCGTTTCTGCGTCCCTAGTAACAAATGTAATGATCCATTTTTACTTTGTGAGGGCTGGGGATTGCTTGTGGCTGCCCTTTTTTGCTGCTGTTGGGGGGGGGGGGGGGGACCCAAAAACACTTTTAAAA